ACCTGGCGCTGACATACAATGACGTCAGCCCCCAGGAGAACGAGCACGCCTCGGCGGCGCTCAAGCTCATGCGGCAGGAGGTGGGGCGCAGTTGGGGGCAAAGGGGCTGGGCGCGTAAGCCGTTGGGCCTGTCGCGTGGGAACACTGTCGTACCTCAGCACACACACGCATGTGTGTGTGCGCACATATGTGTGTGTGTGGGAAGGAAGAGAGCCGTAGGTGCGGATAGGTGCGTGCGTGCACATACACACACACACTCACGTGCACACACACACACACACACACACACACACACACACTCGCACACACACACTCATGTGCACACACACTCATGTGCACACACACTCATGTGCACACACACTCACGTGCATACACACACACACACTCACGTGCACACACACACACACTTACGTGCACACAACCTTTTTCAAACGCCCCGTCCGCGGGCTGCCCCCCCAAATCCCCCTACCCCAGCATTACAACTTTGCGGCGTCCCTGCCCCCCGACAAGGCCCGCCGCCTCCGCCGCCTGCTGGTCGGCGCCGTCCTCGCCACAGACATGCAGCAGCACTTCCCCCTCATGGCCGCATTCCAGGCCCTCGCCCCAGAGCTCGCGCGGCAGGGCCCCGCGCTGCTGCCGCGCAGCCAGGAGCTGCTGCTGCAGGTGGCCCTTAAGTTTGCGGACGTGGGGCACTTGATGGCGCCCTGGGGGGTGCACCGGCGGTGGGTGGCGCGGCTGGAGGAGGAGATGTTTGCGCAGGTGGGCGGTGCGCGCGCACATGTGTGTGTGTGTGTGTGGTGTGTGTTTGCGGTGAATTTTTGATGTGTGTTTGGTGCGCGTGTGCGTGCGTGTGGCGGCAGCATGGGGATGGTTGAATGCGTTTGGAGGGTGAATGCGTGCATGTGTGCGAGCGCGTGTGTTATTGCGTGCACACATGTGTGTGCTTGTGTGTGTGTGTGTATGCACGCTTGCGCATATGCATGTGCCTGTACGCTGTGCACTCACGTATGTCGCACATGCGTTGAACTTCACTACACCGGCCAGAGCGCCACAGGCCCAATGCCCCGCCTCGCCCCTACCCCTCAACAAAACACCTTCTGCCCCCCCGTCCTTCTGCAGGGCGACCGGGAGCGACAGTTGGGCCTACCGGTGTCGCCCCTGATGGACCGCGCCCAACCCGGCGTCTCCTGGTCACAGGCCGGCCTCATCACCGTCGTGGCCCTCCCCATGGCCCACGCGTGGGCCACCCTGCTGCCAGCCACCGGGCCGCTGCTGTACGCCGCCGCATCGAACCGCGCGCAGTGGGAGGGGGAGGCCACGGCGCTGAGGGCGCGCGCGCGCGCGGACGAGGCCGCGGCGGAAGCGACGGCGGCGGCGGCGGCGGCGGCGGCAGGGGCGGCGGGGGCCGCGGCGGCGG